CATATAGTGTCTTCTCGCATCACTCTTGTCACGTGACCCCCCCGTTTTATTTATCAGCCCCCCCAGCTCAAAATATGTTCCCGCGGCTATGGTTATATCTGTGAAATATTACTGAATGTTGGACTGACAAAAATTCTGATAAAAAATGTTTTTTTGGCATTCATAGTATAATCTATTTCAGATAATCCCAGCATTAAACATGGAGAAAAAAAAAAACTGTGGATGGTCACTTTATGTCAACCAAATGGCTCTACCTGGTCTATCTGGCTGTTCTCCGCCAGAACAAGCTGCACTGTACACCAGATCATATGCCAAATGTCTGAATATCCAAGACTAATAATACCACAGCTCAACAATAAGGATGGATCTGCTGGCTCGGGGCCAGTTTAAAACTGCTTCAGGCCAGATGACAGAACTGTTACAAAATATTACATTCACTGATCTTGTACAACCATTTTTATGCCTTGCAAACAAATTTGAAATGATTTTGTTATAGTTTTCCTACAAAACTGTTAATGAATTTATGTGGAATTAAATAGATATATAAGTTCTAGCATTCTAGTTTTTAGCAAATTTTCATAAATGAAAAATAAATAAATAAATAAAATTAATTGCAAACAAATTTATGATTTTGTTAGTTTTCCAACAAAATTGTGTTAATGAATTTATGTGGAGTTAGATACAGTAGCTGTATAATTTCTCATTTCTGTCAAACATTCAGAAATAAATAATATCAAAATAAAATATAAAAAATGTTGTACAAAATTCTGAATGATTTCATTATAGCTTCCAACAAAATTGTTTTAATGAATTTATGTGGATTTAGATAACGTAGCTGTACATTTCTAGCTTTGTAATTTCTAGCAAATTTTCATGAATAAAAAAATGTAATTAATAAAATAAATTAAAATATATATTAATCTTGACAAGAAGTGCATTTATTCAGTCGCAGAACGACTGAGAACGGGAGACGTTTCAGAAGCGCGCGCCACTTCACTTCAGCGCCAGGTGCGAGTCAAACGAGTGCGGAAACGGTACTGTGCTCGCAGCGCGTGCTCTTCAATTGCACGCACAAACAGAGCCAATCCTCCCTATACACAAAATACACAAGCTGCATAGGGCCCCCGAAACACCAGGGGGCCCCCCTTGCTCTCAAAGATGACTTAATTTTAGTTTAGTTTTTGAATTTGGCCAGCGGTTATGAAAACATGAATGATCATTTCTTTTAATGCGGTGTGC